AGAGGGAAGTTTATAGCAATATAGGCCTCCCTCAGGAAAGAAGAAAAATCTCAAATAAGCAATCTAACATTATACTTAAAAGAACTAGAAAAAGAAGAAAAAACAAAGCCCAAAGTTAGTAGAAGAAAGGAAATAATAAATATCAGAGCAGAAATAAATGAAATAGTGACTAAAAAAAAAATAGAAAAGATTAACAAAATTAAGAGCTAGTTTTTTGAAAAGATAAACCAAATTGATAAACTTTTAGCCAAACTCATCAAGAAATAGAGAGGGCCCAAATAAAATCAGAAATGAAAGAGGAGAAGTTACAACTGACATCACAGAAATCCAAAGGATCACAAAAGATTACTATTAACAATTAGATGTCAACAAACTGGACAACCTAGAAGAAATGGATAAATTCCTAGAAACATATAATCACTCAAGACTGAATCAGGAAGAAATAGAAAATCTGAATAGACTGATTACCAGTAATGAAATTTTACCAGTAATCAAAACTCCCCAAAAAACAAAGTCCAAGACCAGATGGCTTCAAAGTTGAATTCTCTCAAACATTTAAAGAAGAGTTAATACCTATTCTTCTCAAGCTATCCCAAAAAACTGAAGAGGAAGGAACACTTTCAAACTCATTCTATGAGGCCACCATCACTCTGATACCAAAACCAGACAAACGCACTACCAAAAAACCCCCAAAATTACATGGGGCCAGCCCTATGGCCAAGTGGTTAAATTCACGTGCTCTGCTTTGGTGGCCCAGGATTTCACTAGTTCAGATCCTGGGTGTGGACCTAGCACCACTCACCAAGCCATGCTGAGGTGGCATCCCACATAGCAGAGCGAGAAGGACCTACAACTAGAATATAAAAATATGTACTGGGGGGCTTTGGAGAAAAAAGAAGATTGGTAACAGATCTTAGCTCAGGGCCATTCTTTTAAAAAAAAATTACAGGCCAACATCCCTGATGAACATAGATGCAAAAATCCTTAATGAAATATTAGCAAATGGAATTCAACAATATATTAAAAGGATCATATACCACGATCAAATGGGATTTATTCCAGGGATGCTAGGATGGTTCAATATGCACAAATCAATCAGCATGATACACCACATGAACAAAATGAATGATAAAAATCATATGATCATCTCAATAGATGCAGAAAAAGCATTTCAGAAAATTCAACATCCATTTATGATAAAAACTCTCAACAAAGTGGGTATGGAGGGAATGTATTTCAGTGTAATAAAGGCCACATATGACAAACCCACAGCTAACATCATACTCAATGGTGAAAAGCTGAAAGCTTTTCCTCTAAGATCAGGAACAAGACGAGGATGTCCACTCTTGCCACTTTTATTTAACTTGGTATTGCAAGTCCTAGACACAGCAATCAGACAAGAAAAAGAAATAAAAGGCATCCAGATTGGAAAGAAAGAAGTAAAACTGTCACTGTTTGCAGATGACATGATACTATGTATAGAAAACCCTAAAGACTTTACCAAGAAAATATTAGAATAAATGAATTCAGTAAAGTTGCAGGATATCAAATCAATATAAAGAAATCTGTTGCATTACTATGCACTAAGAATGAACTATTAAAGAAATTAAGAAAACAATTCCATCAAAAAGAATAAAATACAAAATTTTATTTATTTTGTTTAAAAATAAATAAATTTATTTTATTTATTTTGTCAAAAAGAATAAACCTAATCAAGGAAGTAAAACACCTATACTCTGAAAACTATAGGACATTGATGAAAGCAATTGAAGATGACACAAATAAATGGAAGATATACCATGCTCATGAATTGGAAGAATTAACATTGTTAAAATTTCCATATTACCCAAAGCAATCTACAGACTTAATGCAATCCCTATCAAAATACCAATGGCATTTTTCACAGAACTAGAACAAAGAATCTTAAAATTTGTATGGAACCACAAAAGACCCCAAATAGTCAATGCAATCTTGAGAAAGAAGAACAAAGCTAGAAGTATCATGCTCCCTGATTTCAAACTATGCTACAAAGCTACACTAATCAAAACAGTATGGTAGTATCACAAAAACAGATATGTAGATCAATGGAATAGAATAGAGAGCCCAGAAATAAACCCACGCTTATGTGGTCAATTAATCTACAAGAAAGGAGGCAAGAATATCCACTGGAGAAGAACAGTTCCTTCAACAAACAGTGCTGGGAAAACTGGACCGCCACATGCAAAAGAGTGAAACTGGACTGCTTTCTCACACCATGTACAAAAATAAACTCAAAATGTATTAAAGACTTAAATGTAAGACCTCAACCCATAAAACTCCTAGAAGAAGACATATGCAAAAAACTCTCTGACATTGGTCTTAGCAATATATTTTTGGATCTATCTCCTCAGGAAAGGGCAACAAAAGCAAAAATAAGCAAATGTGTCTACATCAAACTAAAAAGCTTTCGCACAGAGAAGGGAACCAACAACAAAATGAAAAGGCAATCAACTGAATGGTAGAAGATATTTGCAAACGATACAGCCAATAAAGGGTTAATATCCAAACTATATGAAGAACTCATACAACTGAATATCAAAAAATACAATCTGACTAAAAAGTGAGAAGAAGACCTGAATAGTCATTTTTCCAGAGAAGACATACAGATGGCCAACAGACACATGAAAAGATGCTCCACGTCACTAAGCATCAGGGAAACGCAAATCAAAACCACAATGAGATATCATCTCACACCTGTCAGAATGGCTATGATCAAAAAGACAACAAAGTGTTGGCGAGAATGTGGAGAAAAGGGAACTGTTGGTGAGAATGTAAAATTGGTGCAGCCACTACAGAAAACGTTATGGAGCTTCCTCAAAAAGTTAAGAATAGAACTACTGTATGATCCAGCTATTCCACTTCTGGGTATTTATCTGAAGAAAATAAAAACATCCAGTTATAAAATAACATATATAGAACTGGTTATTTATAAAACTGGTACATTTCACATTACATATATTTATATTAAATATATATAATATATTTTACATATGAATATATATTTATATTTTATAACTGGTACAAATTTCCAGTTATAATGAGTCACGGGGATGTAATATACAGCATAGGGAATGCAGTCAATAATACTGCGGTAAGTGTGTATGGTGACAGGCAGTTGCTAGACTCATCGTGGTGATCACTTTGTAGTCTGTATAGATGTTGAATCACTGTGTTGTGTACCTGACACTGAAGGAAATCTTTGCCTATTCCCAGGTCACCAAGCTATTCTCCTTTGTTTTCTTCTGAAGGCCTCACTGTTTCAGGTTTTATAATTAACTCTGTGATCTGTTTTGGATGAATTTTTGCATACCAGGGGTCACCTTTCATTTTCCATATGGACATCCAGTTGTTGCAGTACCATCTGTTGAAAGCTCCCTTTCTCCACAGGGTTCCTTTGGCACCTGTGCTGAAAATCAAATGACCACACAAGCGGGCACCTATTTCTGTGCTCTATTTTGCTGCGTTGATGTAGGCATTGATCTTTATTCTGAATCATATTGTCTTAATAGCTGTAGCTTTATAGTAAGTCTTGAAATCACTTGTGAATCCAACTTCAGTCTCTTTTTGGTAAAATTGCTTTAGATATTCTAGACTCTTTGCACTTGCATATGAATTTTATATTTTGTCAATTTCTACCTAAAAAGCCTACTGGTCTTCTGATTGGGGTTGTGTTGAATCTATTGATCTCTTTGTGCAGAACTGACATCTTGCCAATTTTCTTCATCCATCTCTTCCCATCCAGAAAGATGGTATATCTATACATTTATTTAGCTATTCTTTAATTTCTACCAAAAATATTTTGTAGTTTTTAGCATACATGTGCTGCACATATATATCTATGTTTTTTTGGTTTTTTTTGGCTGAGGAAAATTTGGCCCGGGCTAACATCTGTGGCAATCTTCCTCTATGTTTTAGTTAGCACAGCATGGCTGCTAACAGAGCAGTGTAGGTCTGCACCTGGGAACGGAACCTGGGCCAGAAGTGGAGCGCGCTGAACTTAATCACTAGGTAACTGGGGCTGGCCTGGCATATATTTCGTTAAGTGTTTTCATAAGTACTTTGTGTATTTTGATGCTGTAGTAAATGGAAGTTAAAAAATTTCTTTTCCAATTGTTTGCTGTTAATATAAAAAATACAAGTGATTTTTATATAATAATCTTGTATGCTGGGACCTTGCTAAATTATCTTATTAGTTCTAATAGTTGAAGATACGTTAGGCTTTTCTAAATAAATAATCGTAGCATTTGCAAATAGAGACCATTTTACTTCTCTTCTAACTTTTAGGCTTTTTATTTTTCTAGCCTTTTGTACAAGATATACTATATGTATCTATTATACATACATATTATGACATTAAAAAATCTTGCATTTTTTTAAAATCATGAATGGGAATTGAATTTTGTCGAATGTCTTTTCTGTATCTACTGAAAAGTTGTTTTTTTTAAGATTGGCCCTGAGCTAACATCTGTTGCCAATTTTTTTTCTTCTTCTTCTTCTCCCCAAAGCCCCCCAGGGCAGAGTTGTATATTCTAGTTGCAGGTCCTTCTGGTTGTGGCATGTGGGACGCCACCTCCACATGGCCTGATGAGTGGTGCCATGTCCAAGCCCAGGATCCGAACCAGCAAAACCCCAGGCCGCAGAAGCAGAGCGCGCAAACTTAACCACTCGGCCACGGGCCCGCCCCAGAAAGTTTTTTTTAAGTACATATTAAAAACCTGTCCAGACAAAGCATCAACTCAAACAGATGTAGGAAATAGTTTGTGCTCATTCAATCTACCCCTTACCAACAACCATCCATCATTACCACAGTGCCATGTGGCTTTTGCACAAGGCCACCACCTGGCTAGTAAGTGACCGAGACTGAGCTCAGACAGAAACCCGCTGACTTTAAAGCTCCTTTTCTTTCACCAGCACTGGGGTGCTCTCGGACTAGGTCAACACAACAATTCCTGTGACAATGCTTTTTAGTTTTTTTCTCTTTATTTTTGTGGGTAAAATGCAACATACATATTATACTTAACAATGAAAGCGGATGGGACAAAAGAATCAATATTAACTTTTGAGATGGGAGATAACATAAAAGATGACATTTCTCGTGACATTTATGATTTTTCAATCAAATCACTTAGTTTTAGAAAATAGTTGGAAAATGCCCAAAAGATAAGATGTTATTTTCAAATTCAGGGGTGTGTGTGTAAAACTGTTGGAAATGCTTGAAACATTTTAATTCATGTCATATTATTTTTTATTAAGTGACATATTTATGGAAAAGAGTTGAACATGCCTGTCAGAAACTAGGAACTATTCAATTCCATAATATGTATTCTTTTCAGGCATGTAATACATTTGTGAAGAACAGTTGAAATGCCCTTGATAGAAAGAAGGGACATTTTAATCTCATGTTACTTTCTAGTCAAGTGCAATACGGGGAAAGCAGGTGCAAAGCGCCTCAGAGAAGAGATGAACAGTAATTCCTCCTCTCGAAAACATGCATCTCCACGTGGTTAAACACACAAGACAACGACTGAGGGACACGAACTCTCTCAGGGCGCACCACAGCTAACAGATACCGAGCAGTTTGGCTTTAAAGCTTTAGCTAAAAATATTTTACATCCTTAAATGTATATTATTAAATGTACACTGAAGGCTAACTGAAGTGACTTAAATAATAAGACTCAGGGACAGGTTGTAACAACAATTGTTAAAGTCCTTAATTTTTTTCCCAAGACAGGCAAGTGAGGTAGTTTATACTGTATATACATTGCAAAGAAATTAATATTCCAGTTTCGAAGACCATTGACTCCAAAAATCACATCCCCAAGTGAGCTGCTTAACAAAGGGATTCTCTTTTGCAAAATGGAGAAAAAAATGAGCTTGTTCTAGGGTTTTTTTCCTGAATAAGTGTTCCTAAAATGTGAACTTTCTCAATCCGTTCCTGGGTGTTATTTTCCTAACTGCAGCAAGAGCACTTGGACGAGGTGAGGAGGGAGCTATCAAGAAGAGAATTCAGAAGCCCAGTATCTATCTGACTCTTTTTTTTTTTTGCAAACGTACTATTCATTTTCACTGATTACTGTAACTATTTTAAAACAACTCGTGATAAGGCAAAGATAGTTTTTTCAATACTTAGTTGACAGGTATTTGTGAATTTTAATTGTAGGAGTTTTTTTTTCTTTACCAATAAAATTATTAACAAGAATCTCTTTAACCACACAAAAATTAGTCTGTGTGTCTACTGAAAATTCTTCTCTAATCAATTGGTTAACTGTGACTAAGAATAAAAGTTATATCCAATATATTGGTAGTGACATGGCCTTCCACATTGTATAGTTATTGGACAGTTGTCACACATCCTTGAATACACTGAAGTGATTAAAGTTATTGACTCAGCTAAATTTTTGACATCTGAAACCACACAGAAGTGGATAAGAAATTCAGGAACTTATTATTTTTTACCTGTCATCTGTTAGGCATTTATTTAACACTAACGACAAGTGGAGTAAATCTTAAAACCTTTAGAACTTATGTATAGGTTCTATATGTAAGAAATGAAAATTCCCAAATAAAAAATCAAATGAATAGATGTGTCAATTTTCTGTATAAACACAATAGAATTTAACTATTCTAAATGATATGAAATACAGTGACAAAAATCAGCCATTGTTTTTATACATGCATAGACGTGTAAGGTAGCTAATTTGAAGAATTTCTTCCACGTGTGTAGGCATAAATCATTGCCATCATATGTCTTGGAACTTAGAAACTACATAACATAAAACGTTTACTCCTATTCTTTGAATTGCAAAAATGATAAAAGCAATTTTTCAGACTCCTGAAATTCATTATGTAAACTCATGTGCCATCAGTTAACCATACATTGAAAACTGATGAAATGTAGGAATAAATATATACCTATAGAGCACATATTTATCTTCTAATGGGTTTTCAGGCAAAGGAAATGAAAATTCTCAAATAAACAAATAAAATGAATGGATATTTGAGTTTTCTATAAAAATATAACAAAATCCTAATGGCCAGAAACACAATTATCTATATGTTGAATTTAAGTAGTGTTTTTATAGGCATCAAGGCATACTGCAGAATGCAAAATATTTCTTCCACATATGGGCTTAAATTATTATCTCATTATGTTTTCTGCATTTGTGAGCAACTTCATCTATCGTGTGAATTGTCTGAACTGCAAAAGAGAGTCATTTGGGCGTTAAATCTCATTAAAACCGACATAAATTCATCAAAATCTCAATCTGTGGATTCTATCCAAAGCACACATGTGGGGTAAATGAGACCTCTGTCCTTATTTCTAGCTCACCCTAGAAGGACTAGGTCTGCAGTCTCAAGGTGGAAGGCAGAGCTGTCTGACCGCTCAGCGCATTTTAGATTTGCTTTCCGTTAGAATCGTGGAGAAGTGCGTGTCTGGCCAATTGCAAGTCTGGAAAACGGTCTGCAGGGTCTTGACAGAGAGAGAGCTTTCCGCTTAGCAAATATGCATCAGATTTTAAAGCCTGATGCTAATCCACAGTGGCTGGCCACATCTATGATTGATGAACAGAAACAAAATCTGCTTTTACGGCATGTAAAATCTGGATATAACAGTATTTTTCAGCACTCTTGGATAAAGAGCAATTGGATAAAGGCAGTCCTGTATTTTTATGTTGGGGCTGCAGAAGTAACTATCTACAGATGTGAAATATAAAAAGTGATATGTCTGGTCAGGGAAGGAAATCTGTGCCTGGCACATGGACAGCTATACAGTGAGCACCATAATCACGATGAGAAAATAGAGGCTCTGTGACTATTAACGACACAGAAGGTGAGGAAAGCATAAGAACACCCTTTGTCAAACTAACCTTTGCCATGGGGACCTGTAATCACAAGAGAATAAGCTTTAAAAAATATCAGTTTTCAATAGTCCATGATAGAGAAGTGTTCATTTGCACCAGAGTGCTGATACAGTATGACATACATAACAACACAGTGTTCTTTAAATGGAAGTTCCTCCTTCTCCAATTCAGGAGGAAATCAGAGCATAAATATTGTATGTGTAACTTTGGAAACTGACTCCCTTTGCAAAGTAGAGCTGAATTATTTTGCAGAGCAGAAATTATTGATATTTCTGGTATTCTTGCTCAAAAAGGTATCGATATATGTATATAAGTATAAAAAAAGAGTCTTCCATCTCTTGTGTTTGGTAGCATTTGCTACATAAAGAAGTATTTCTTATCCCCAGGTATGGGACAAGTTCATTTCTGCTGTGAAGTCAAAGTAGAAATGATTAAAGTTCACATCCTCTTGTCTTCACTCTCAGCAGGGAACCGTCAGGAGAAACCCTCAGCTCAAATGATCAACCAGCTCCTCTTCCATAATTCATATTGACAATGCTGGGAAACACCAACCAAGAGGGTTATAGGAACAGACATGTTAAAAGCAGTCTTGTTTTTTCCCCTACCAAATGTAGGATCTTCTTGACATATAATACATGATAGCTGCCATCTTGGGGGGTATTTCAAAAACTTGGTTGGGGTTTAATAACCCATTCTGCTTGAGGATTTACATGATATACATCCAACATATAAGCATCTGGATCCAAGCAATGCTGTCCTAAAGGAAAGAGAAAATCAGAGAATGTTTTCAAGAGTGCACACTTCAGTGTGGTGTGTGTGCATTTGTATGTGTGTGTGTAAGGTTCGAACAAGGCCAATATAGTTCTCTCAGTCAAAAGAAAGTAGACACATTTTAGTTTCTTAGCAAAGGCTGCCTTCCTTCCTTTCTGACTGTGAAGTACTTCAAACAAATCCCATGTAGAAAAAACAGACACGCCATCCACAGGCAGACTGCTCTCTCGACGTACCACGTCCATTAGGAGAACACGGCAGGAACTGATTTCAGGTGTAAACCGATCACTTGCATGACAACATGTGTCCTCTAATGGTTTTACAGATAGTAACTTGACCAGGACTACAAAGATTAAGCCAAGATCATTTTAGGAATGGTCATTTCATTTCTTGCCTATGGATGCAAATGCCCATAGGCAAGAGATCTGGAAAGGATAACAACCAAAAGATCATTCTGCGGGGCAAATACATTTAAAAATGTTTATGTACAGTATGTTTGAAATGTATACTAAAATCTCAGCAAAACTACCAGGATTTGATTGCTTACTTGACTCATTCACTTATCAAATATTTCTTGAGAGTTATTATGTGCCAGGCATTATTCTAGGGGCCAGGGCTATAGCAATGCATCAGACAGTCAAAAATACTTGCCCTCAGGGCGCTTACATTCTAAAAGCGGTAAAAGGCAACTAACAAATAAGCAAGTATAATATAAAGTAAGTCTAATGGTGATAAGAACATTAGAGAACAGCAAAGCAGAGAAGGCACAGAGAGAGAGTATGATCCAGGAAGGTCTCATTGAGAAGGTGATATAGCGGCAAACACCTGAAAGAGGCGAGGGAGTGAGAAATGAGCAATGCGAAGGAGAGCATTCTGGGCAGAAGTACGAGCACATGCAAAGGCCCCAAGGCAAAATGTGCCTGGGGACTGGATATGCAAAGTTGGTGTTCGAGGCGAAGTCTGGATATAAGTTCAAGAGACATCAACATACAGGTCTAGTTAAAGCAATGAGATGGGTTGAGCTCACCAAGGAAGTTACGTGTAGAGGGGAGCTCCAAGGACCGAGCCCTCCAGCTCTCCAGTGTTAAGAGGTTGAGAGGATAAGAGGTCACAGGCAAAAAGGACTCAGAAGGAACAGCCAGGGAAGTGGCAGGAAAGCCAGAAGCTCAGGGTGTCCTTGAAACCAGGTGAAGAAAGTGCTTTTTCAAAGAAGGGAAAGATCAACTCAGGCAGTTATCAAGACAGGATGAATATTGGATTTGACAACATAAGAGTTCTCTGGTGACCTCAACAAGGGAGCAATTTTGGTGAAGTGTTGGGGATAAAGCTTAACTGAAGTTGTTTCAAGAGAGAACAAGAGGAAGAAAGTGGAGTATACACAACTGACGCAAGGAGTTTTTACTGTAAAGCAGTACAGAGAAATGGAGGACACTTGAACGGGGTCAAGAGAGAGTTTTGTAAAGATGAGAGAAATTACCAAAATTTTTATCCATGTAGAAATGACATAGTTGGGAGGGAAAAGCTGACCATGAAGCAGAGAATGGAGAAATGACTGGATCAATGCCCTTACTGGGTGGTAGGGGACACAAAGTGAGCCGTGAGCAGAGGAGCTGGCCTTAAACAGGAGCATGGGTACTTCATCTGGACTGTGAGGAGGGCAAGCAGAAGATATGGACACAGACGCAAGCAGAGGGAATTTTCTTTTGATTCCTTTTTTCCCACCTCAGAGAAATACGGAGACTGAACTTGCGCTGAGAGTGAAAATAGGGACGTTAAACACAAAGGGTGTCACAGTTCCGAAAGTTCCACGAGGCTCTTTGCTTTGTTTTGCATCAATTCCAGAAAGAGATTTTCCAACTTTGAGTCACATTTAAAAGACCCAAAAGTGGAGTTCATGTCAACTAAAATATTCACATTTAAATTTTGAAAATATTTTAGGAAAGTCATACTGTTCTCACACGAAATTTAAAAAGTCAACAACTTACTGACTTTGAATTTATATCTAAGAAACTTGTAAAATATACTTTTACAATAATAGCGTTATACTTCTTTTAGAGTAATCAGAAAATTTAGGAGTAAAAATTGTTAAAGAATGCTTACCTATATTTCCTCCAATTTCATATAATCTTTGGTTCTGAATCTTAATGCATTCTGACGAACCATGACTGTGAAAAGGAGAATGCAATGTAATTTTAACCCTCTTTCACAATCTGAGGTAAATCTATAGATTAAATAACCATGGCAACAAAGAATTCATTTTGCCTTGTATGAAATACACCCCACAAATCATTGTTATGACCAAAGTTATGCTAAAAGTTTTTTCCCTGTTTTACTCAGGCAAGCATCTCAGGCACAGAGCGGATGGGGCTATTCTGAACCAAGATGGATGCTGCCACACTCGACAGCAAGCCAGAGCTCATTCTAGCCACAACTGTTGGCTCCATTTTAGAGAGAAAACTGTCACTGACACATCAAGCCATCCAAGGAGCAGCTGGATGTTTAACATTGCTCTGTCATTGTCACATTATCAGTTCAAAAGAAGTCAGGTTTCATTTCTGTATTTGCCAAAAGTTAAACAGAATTCTCTCTTCAACCCATGTCACATTTCTAAGCTTGCCCAACGCTCTGCAAACTAACATTGGCTTCATTGCGTGTCTCTGCTCTATAATAAAAGCAAGTCAAAGAAAACAATTGCCCAATTTCATTTTTCAACCCCAGATCAGAATGCTGGGGTGGAAGAGTCTGGAAAGACCATTGTTGATCTCCATCCCACTCAGGAATGACTTTCAGCTTCGTTACTTCAAAAAGATTGCGCTCAGCTCTCTATTGTGAGGAAGAAGGATGCGTGCCCTCTTTTCTTTCTTTTTTGGTTAATTAAACTTTTTATTTGAGGTAAGTGTAGATTTGCATGTAGTTGTAAGAAACTATACAGGCAGATCCTGTGTACCCAGTGTCCCCCAATAGTAAAATCTTGCAAAACTCTAGTGCAATGTCAAAACCACAATGTTGGCATTGATTTGGCCAAGATACAGAACATTTCCATCAGCACAAGGTCCCTCTTGTTTTCCTGTTACAGCCTCATCTATGTCTCTACCCCTACCCCCATCCTCCATTCTACATTTTCATGAGTTTGTCATGTTAAAAATGCTACGTAAGTGGAAAAATATAGTATAGAACTTTTTTGATACTGGCTTTTTTTTAATTAGCATAAATCCATGGAGATTCACCCAAGTTGTTGCATTTTTACTGCTCATTACCATACCATCCATGGTATGGATGTACCACAGTTCGTTTAGTCATTTACCTGTTGAAGAACATCTGGGGTTTTTTCCAGATTTTGACTATTATAGATAAAGCTGCTATAAGCCTTTGTGTGCAGGTTTTTGTGGGAACATGATCTTCATTTCTTTTGATAAATGCCAAGGAGTGTGAAGTCTGGGTCACATGGTACCTGCATATTTAGTTTTATAACAAACTGTCGAACGGTTTTACAGAGTGACTGTACCATTTTACATTCATACCAGCAATGTATGTGTGGTACAGTTTCTCTGTCTGTTTGCTAGTATGTGGTATTGTCACTATTTTTCATATTAACCGTTCCCATAGGTGTTTAATGATATGTCACTGTGGTTTTGCATTTCCCTAATGGTTAAAGATATTGAACAGGTTTTCCTGTGCGTGTTTGTCATCTGCAGATCCTCTTCTAGAAATATCTGTTCATGTCTTTTGCCCATTTTCAAATTGGATTGTTTGTTCTTTTTATTGCTGAGTTTTGAGTGTTCTTTATATATTCTAGATACTAGTCCTTTGTTTGATATGTGGCTTGTAAATATTTTCTCTGAGTCTCCAACTTGTCTTTTCATCCTTTTCATACGGTCTTTCAATGTATACGTTTTCAATTTTGATGAAGTCAGATTTATCAGTTTTTCTCTCTTATGGATCATGATTTGATCTCAAGTCTAAGAACTCTTCATCGGCCCTACATCACAAAGGTTCCTCCTATGCTATTTTCTAAAAGTCTTAGTTTCACATTTACATTTAAGTCTGTGATCTATTTTGGGTTAATTTTTGTATAAGATGTGAGGTATCGATCTAGCTTCGTTTCTCATTCTTTGCTGATGAATGCCCAATTGCTACAGCACTATTTGTTGAAAAGGCTATCTTTCCTCATTGAACTGCTTTTGTACCTTTATCAAAAGTCAGTTCCTAGCACAGTCAAACTCACAGAGACAGAGGGCACAAGAGTGACCACTCTGGCTGGGGAGGGGGAGTATTGTGTAATGGTGATAAGGTTTCAGAATGGGGGCATAAAAACCTTCTGGAGATGCATGGTGGTGATGACTGCATAACAGTGTGAATGTACTTAATGCCACTGAACCATGCACTTAAAATAGTAAAATGGTAAATTTTATGTTATGTATAGTTTACAATAAAAATTTTTTCAAACTCAGTTGGGCATATGCTGTGGTTCTGTTTCTGGATCCTCTATTCTGTTCCATTGACCTAAATGTCTATCCCTCCACCAATGCCACACTGTCTTCATTACTGTAGCTCTACAGTTGGCTTTAACATCTAGTAAAGTGATTCTCCTACTTTATTCTTTTTCTCAAGACTGTTTTAGCTATTCTAGGGCCCATGCCTTTCCATACAAATTTTTATTTTTTTAATTTTTTTGGTGAGGAAGATTGGCTCTGAGCTAACACCTGTGCCAATCTTCCTCTATTTTGTATGTGGGACACCACCACAGCATGGCTTGATGAGTGGTGCATAGGTCCACACCCGGGATCTGAACCTTCAAACCCCATGCTGCCAAAGCGGAGCACGCAAACCTAACCAGTACGCCACCAGGCTGGCCCCCATACAAATTTTTAAAATAAGCTTGTGCACATTTACAAAATATCTTGCTGGGATTTTGATATGAGTTGCATTAAACCTATAGATCAAAGCAATATACTAAAAACACTATAAATAAATCAAGATAGAATCCTAAAGGATAGAACATATCCTGGGCCACAAAACAAACCTCAAAAAATTTAAAATAATTGAAATCATACAGAGTATCTTTTCTGACCATAAAGGAATCAAACTAGATGTCAGTAACAGAAAGACAAACTGAAAATCTCCAAATACTTGAAAATTAAACCACACACTTCTAAATAATCCATGGTCAAAGAGGAAGTCCATAAAGAAAGTTTGGAAAATAAATAGAATGAAAATAAAACTAAAACATCAAATTTGGTGGGATGCAGCTAAAGCAGTGCTTAGGGAAAAATTTATAGCAGTAAACATTCACATTAGGAAAGAGGAAAATATCTTAAACCAATTATTTAAGTTGCTATCTCCAGAAATAGAAAAATAATAGTAAAATAAACACAAAGCAAGCAGAAAGAAGGAAAAGATCAAGACAAGAGTAGAAATTAACAAAATTGAAAACAGGAAGATGATAGAGAAGCTGGTTGTTTTTAAAAAACAATAAAATTGATAAACTTCTAGAAAGACTGACAAAGATGAGAAGAAAGAGGGTACAAATCATCAATACTAATAATGAAAGAGGATATCACTGTATATAATGTTTCCCTCAAAAGGATAATAAGGAGATACTATGAACAACTTTATGCTCAAAATCAAAATCTTAGAAGAAATGAACCAATTCCTCAAAACCACAAATTGCCAAAACACAACCAAGATGAAATAGTCATAGCCATTAAAGAAATTGAATCAGTGCTTTAAAAGTTTCCCCAGGGGCAGGCCTGGTGGCGCATCGGTTAAGTGTGCACGTTCCACTTCTCGGCAGCCTGGAGTTGCCCGGTTTGGATCCCGGGTGCAGACATGGCACTGTGTGGCACGCCATGCTGTGGTAGGCGTCCCACATATAAAGTAGAGGAAGATGGGCACAGATGTTAGCTCAGGGCTAGTCTTCCTCAAAAAAAAAAAGTTTCCCCCAGAAAAGGAGTCTCTAAGCCCAGATGGTTTCACTGGAGAATTCTAGGAAACTTTTAAAGAATTAACACAATCTTTTCCAGAAAATAGAACAGGGACACTGTCAACTCATTTTATGAAACCAGGATCGTCCTGATACCAAAACCAGACAAAGCCAATAGAAAAAACAAGAACCACAGACTAATATCTCTTATGAACTTAGACAAAAAAATCCTCAACAACATATTAGCAAATCTAATCCAATATATATTAAAAGAATTATACACTTTACCAAGTGGAATTTATTTCAGGTATGCATGGTTAGTTCACCATTCAAAAATCAATGTAATCCACCATATCAACACAAGAAAAATCATACGATCATGTCAAGTGCTCCAGAAAAAGCATCTGACAAAATCTAACACCCATTCACGATAAAAACTCTTAGCAAACCAGGAAAAGAGAACTTCCTCAACTTGATAAAGATCATCTATAAAAACCTACAGCTAACATCATATTTAATGATGAAAGACTGAATACTTTCCCTCCAAGATCAAAAGTAAGGATGTCCCATTCGACATAGTGCGGGAAGATCAAAGCACTGCGGTAAAGCAAGGAAAAGAAAGCAAAGGCATACAGATTGGAAAGAAAGAAAGAACATTGTCTCTATCTGCAGTCTCTATTTCTCACACTTGCTTGGTTTTTGATGACCTGGACAGTTTTGAGGACTGGACAGGTATTTTGCACAATGTTTCCCATTTGGGACTCATTTACGTTTTTCTAGTCTGGAGTTAACACGTTCTTGGATGAAAGCGACAGAGGTAAATTGCCATTTTCACCATATCTTATCAAGGGTACATACTATCAACGTGACATCACCTTAACCACCTGACTGAGGTCAAACTTCTTGATATTCTTTTTCCCTCTTTACATACTGTACGCTTTGGAAGGAAGTCACTATGCATAGACCACATTTAAGGAGTGGTGACCTTCCACCCTTTTTAAATATAATTGCCTTAAGCATGTCCTCTACATACGTTGAGCACCACACGAGATGGTGCTTCAACCATCAAATGTGATTTAAGAAATGCATGAGGAGCAGGCCAATCTATTATATTTACTCCTATTTGTACCTATTCTGATGTTTTCCTTTCCTTTCTGATGCTCCAAACCTTCTGTTCTCATTTCCTTTCTGTTTAGAGAACTTCCTTTAGCCATTCTTTATGGGCAGGTTTGCTAGCCAAAAAATCTCTTAGTATTCCTTCGTTCAAGAATGTCTTTATTTCCTCTCTCCTCTAGAAGGATATTTCTGCTAGATACAGGGTTTGTAGTTGACAGTTCTTTTCTTTCCGTACTTGAAAAATGTTACCCACTTCCATCTGGCCTCCCCTGGTTTCAGATGAGAAATCCACTGTAATTCGAATCAGTGTTCCCTATAAGAAATGCATTTCTTCTCTCTGGATGCTTCCAAGGTTTCTTGTCTTTAACTTTCACAAATTGAATTATGACGTTTCGGCATGGGTTTTTTTGGGTTGTCCTATTTGGGTTCATTTAGCTTCTTGAATATGTAGGTTTACGCCTTTTGCTAATTTGGGAAGTTTTCAGTCCTTATTTATTCAAATACTTTTTCAGTCCCACTGTTTTGTCTCCTTTTGGCACTCCAGCGATACAAATGTTAGCTCTCATTACCATCCCATGAATCCCTGGGGATGTATTTATTTTTACTTTTTGGTCTATTTTCTATTTGTTGTTCAAAATAAATAATGCTATTGATATGTCCTCACATTTACTGATTATTATCTTCTGTCATCTCCACTCTACTAGTGAGCCCATCCAGGAAGTTTTTTTATTTCAGTTTTTTATCTTTTGTTCTATAATTTCCACTTGGTGCTTTTTTATAACTTCCATTTCTTTGCTGAGATTTTCTGTTTGTTTCAAGAGAACTCGTAATTGTTTTTCGAAGCATTTTTTATGATGGCTGCTCTAAAATCCTTGTCAGATAATTCTAACATCTGATTCAGTTAAGTGCTGGCATCTGTTGTCTTTTCTCATTTCGGTTGTGATCTTCCTGGTTTTAGGTATAATGAGTTTTGTATCATACAGTGGCCATTTTGATATTACATTATGAGACTCTGGATCTAATTTACCTTCAATTTTTGGCAGGCAATCCTCCTGTTGAGGTTTAGCACAAGGTCTGGCTGGGTGTGTATGTTCAGCTTTTTGCTGGGCCCCACTGACGCCTGCTCAGTGAAAGTGGGACACCAACCGGCACTGCCTCATTGCCTTCAATCAGGAGTGCAAGATCAGCTCCCTGCTGGGCTCTGCCGCCACCGGCAGTGGGGAAACGGAGGGCTGACACACACTGCTGTGTCGCTGCTCGGTGAGGGGGACGGTCAGCTCCCCTCGGGGCCTTTCGGACACTGAGGGTGAGGAGAGGCCTGGTGCTCAGTGGCCTGCCCGCCTCGTGAGGTCTCGCTGCTGCTGCGGGGAGGTGGGGGCTCAGCTCTGGCAGGACCCTGCTGACACACCCCGGGTGGGAACTGGACGCCTCGGCTTGTGGGGCGGGGTACTGCAGACGGCTGCCCGCTCGCCCCAGGCCGCGGGGCACTCTGTTTGTTCATGTTTGGTGGGAGTAGGCCAGATGTTATTGCCAAGATGGATTTCTGGCCACTCTCTCCTCAATCTTTGGCTATGGGAACAGCTTTTCCTGGAGCTTTTTCTGTCTGTGCCTGTGCCAGGGTGGAGGTTTCCGCAGCACCCTGCCTGGGGTGCACGCGAGGAGATAAGGAAGCCCAGGAACTCACCACCCGTGTCGTTGCACAAGGCCCCGTGTCCCCGGCAGCGAGCCCCCTTCCTTCCCTCTCACAGCCTTCCTATGCTTGCTGTTGTCTCGTGTCCAGGGCTTCTGAGTTGCGAGAGGAAGGATCTGGGAGGAATAGGACTCCTCTCCTCTTTTTTACTTAAACACAAGAGGTGCTGAGTAGTCAGTCAGAAAATAAACTTCTGGTGAATATGCAAAAATGGGCCTGAGTACAACTTTTCAACTAAAATAGGCCACAGTTCTAACCGTGGAGAGAATGGATAGGACAAGATCTTCAGAGAAGAAGCCGGTACAAAAGATTTGAGTCTATCCGCAGCCATCGAGTCCACCTTATTTTTATCAGAAACATTCTCTTTCCATGAAAGGTCTGCATGAGACTACAGAGGCAGCTTTGTACACATATAAGTAGGAATCTACTGGATGCTCAGATCCCTCCAGTGGGATTTCGAGTCTCTCCATTACTGCCGAGTGGTAACTCTTCACAGCTTCTTAGGTGTTGGGCCAGTAGCAGAGAGGAGTAAATGCTCAGGGCTCTCCCGTTGGCCTCTGACTACTTTTCTTCTCTTTCTTATGTTAGTGTATATGTTTACATATATATGTATATATCATACATAAAGTACACGTCAAAAATGTATGACTTGAAGAATTTTCACAAGTGAACACACCATGTAACCAGGCCCAGATCTAAAAAAGGAGCTTAGAAGCCACCGTCATGCCTTCTTAGACACCATCCCTTCCACTCTCACAGAACTCCACCATCCTGACTCCTAACACCATGGGTTACTTTTACTGGCTACTCCTGTTTTTCTTTTAACTGAATTTTTTCTTGAGATAATTGTACACTCACATGTATTTGTGAGACATGATACAGAGAGGCTCTCCGCCCAGATCTCCCAATGGAAACAGGGTGACATTTTGCAAATCTAGACTTTGATGTCACAATCCAAATACTAACATTGATACAATCCACGCATCTTACTCAGATATCCCATTTCACTTGCACTAATTTGTGTATGTTCAATACACAATAAATAAAGTTCAATAAAATTCAATAAAGTATTGAGTTCAATAAAGTTTCATAGAGGCTCATTTATTCACCACCACAGTCAAGATACTGACCAATACCACAAGGGTCCTTCATGTCACCCTCTTATAACAACACCCATCTCCTCCCCCATGATCACCCCTCCTCAACCTCTGGCAATCAGTAATCTATCCTCTGTTTCTAAAATTTTATCATTTCAAAAATGTTGTATAAATGGAATATTGCAGTGTGTAATCTTTTGCAATTGGTTTTTCTTCGCTCAACATAGCTACTCCTTTTTGATATGATTGAAACGTTTCTTTTAAAGGATATCCTCAGTTTACTAGAGACCATTAAACGGTGCCTGCTCGCTAATGAGTAGATGTAAACCAGTGCGTCTCATCTTTTGAAAAGCTCAGGGTAAATGTTTATCCCTGAATAAGCATGCTAGACAAAAGGTACCATGATTAATCTCTTTAAGGTGACTTACGGCAGATATCAAAAAGCTTTTTTGTAAATATCATTCTGATCCTAAGGTTTGTTGCTGGTACATTTTAAGGAAAGCAACAGCTATGATGTTCACTTAATTACCTAAACTCTACCTGATATAGGCATGTTCAAGCCCAAGCAAGCCTGGAAGAATGATACTCCTGGAAATCTATCAAGATATCTACACAATTAACTTGCTATATATTTTCCTAACAAGAAGTAAAACTCATTGAGTAAATGAAGCCACCAAGACAGAAGATACCTATTAAAAATCCCAACTGTAGAAATTCCTTAAAAAAAACCCACTTCTGTTATTGACAATGCTTTTGTTTACTTAACTTCTTTCTCTACTTTTATTCTTCATTCACTGGGAAGGTCCCTAAGTAACAGGTTCTAATTTTTCAAAAAGGCCCAATCTGTAAATGCCTGGAAAGTTACTCATCAGATAAAGGTCCCCTTCCTCTACAGAGAACTGCATTCACTTGCACTCACCTGTTCTCACACTGGAATTTTGCGAGTATGTCTTTGGCTTTGGTTTGACTACTGAGTTGAATGGCCATTGACACCTTCGAGAGAAGTGGCGCGTGGACCCTTATGACTCCTTCCGGCACGTCAGACTGCCAACGAAGAAAATTCAGTACATTCTGTCAAACTAGGATGACTACCAGCTCAATGACTGCACTTAAGAGAGATGAAAATCAGTAGCACTCTGAATGAGAAAAACATGTAAACAGGACCAGTATTTAACCTGAATGAAACACTGCTTTCTTTTTTTTCAAGATTGGCACCTGGGCTAACATCTGTTGCCAATCTTTCTTCTTCTTCTTCTTCTTCTTCTTCTTCTTCTTCTTCTTCTTCTTCTCCCCAAAGCCCCCCAGGACATAGCTGTATATTCTAGTTGTGAGTGCCTCTGGTTGTGCTATGTGGGACACCGCCTCAGCAAGGCCTGATGAGCAGTGCCATGTCCGCGCCCAGGATCTGAACCCATGAAACCCTGGGCCACCGAGGTGGAGCGCACGAACTTAACCACTCGGCCACGGGGCTGGCCCCATTGTGTTCTTTTTAACAGGAGATTCACGAATGACTAAACTTTAGCTGAGATTTCACTTTTGCTACACGCTTGGGTCTTACTTATAATGCCTTAAAATCATGAGAGGAGTAAAACTGGGTTATGACAAAAATCTAATGTTTCTATCAGGTCGTTTCCTTGACCAATGTCTTAAATAAGCCTACTTTAAGCAGAATTTGGTATTTCAACTTATTTCAGGAAGATCAACCTTCTGAAAACTGTAAGGATCAATTAGAAAACATGGCTTTTGAAAAATCCTTTTTCTTTCATCAGTGGACTTGAATGGCCAGCCCAAGTTGAATTCCAGATGGGCACCTGAAACCTGAGCCTCTGAGTGTCCTGGCAGCACTGTGAAGAGCAGCGGGTGCTGCTGGGGAAGGGTCCCTCTGCTCTGATGAGACACCACCAGTCGGGACTGAGCGCTTGCCTAAATGAAACCATCAAAGAATGGCACTGTCGAATTAACAGAAATTTCTGCTTTGTCAGGACTGAAGGGAAAATCCCTTTGTTTCAAAATTTTGAATGTTTTAAAAATTAAGTCTCTATCTAGAGGTAAACAGAAATAAATTTCCATTTAAGGATCTGGTTACTCCTCAGGCAATCATTTTAAATCTGTACATTCTTGAAGGATGGTGCTGTTAATGTAGAAGGTTTATGTGAATTGACTCGACATATCCCCTAGGAGAAATATATAATAGGTCGAATTGTGTTCCACTCCAAAATACGTTGAAGTTCTAAGCCTAGCACCTCAAAATATGACCTTATTTGAAAACAGGGTCCTTGCAGATGTAATTAGCTAAGAGAAGGTCATACTGGAGTAGGGTGGGCCCTTAATCCAATGTGACTGGTGTCCTTATACGAGGAGAAGAAACACAGACACACACACAGGGTGAATGCCACATAAACAAGGAGGCAGAGGGTGGACTCATGCATCTACAAGCCAGGGAATGCCACAGATCGCTGGCATCGCCAAACCTAGGAGTGAGGTCAGGAACAAATCCCTCCCTCACAGCCTTCAGAAGCAACCAACCAAACTAACACCTTGATTTCAGACTTTTAGCCTCCACAACTCTGAGAGAGTAAATTTCTATTGTTTTAAGCTACACAGTTTGTGGCACTTTGTTATACCAGGACTAGGAAACTAACAGCAAATATTGTTTTAAATGGTCAGCTCCTATAGCATGTTTCCACTATGACCAGCAAGAGCACGACAGGGGATGGCTGTGAGGGATTTGGAGTGGGGAGGGGGTAGAATGCCCCAGGTTCACTGCAGCCAAGATTATGCTCCTAAAACACTCTTGGGTCATCTCATGTCCCTCCACGTCCTCCCAGAAGCCTCTGTAAGATAAATTCCTCACTCCTGACTTCACTGAACCTGTGATCATGACCATCACATTTTCCTTATAGCTTCCTCTAGTATTCACGCCTGGGCACAGGATGCCCAACCACACATTTTGACTCATCAGCTAGTTGAGTCCCTAGATGAATCCTTCATATGCCACACTGAAAATGTCAAGTTTGAAGGATATAGCATGACCCAAATCATACCCAGATAGGGCAGATGTAGCCAGAGAACACTGTGTAGGGGTGAATAATTAGGGAGGAATGGAGATTAGTTGTTTTCTTACCATTCTTCTTGAAGAGGATGATTTTTGTAGTACCTTCGAAGTCTTGGGGCTTGTAACCTAAACAAAACACATTTAGTCTTTAGGATGGGAAAACAAGCATATGCTGCAGTTAAAAGTGTTAAAACTGGTACAGGCTTTATGGAAAACATTTTGGTGATATTTATCAAATTATAAAATTTACATGCACTTTGACCCAACAATTCCACACCTATAAATTTATCCTACAAATTACTTTATCTGTGAGAAACGGCATATATACAAGTTTATTCACTGATGAATAAATTTTAATAGCAAAATGTTGGACACAATCTAACTGTTCAATAATATGGAAACGCTTAAATAAGTTATGGTGTGTCTATAGAATATCAGGCAAAAGAAGCAAAGAAGAAGGCTTTCTGGACCGCTGGGGAATAATCCCCGTGATTTCATAAGTCAACACAGCACTGCGCGGACCAGCTTCATGCACGTTATCATTCCTGTCGAAAAGGAGGAAGAACATACGTTCGTATTTGCTGGTATGTGCACAGTGCCTCTCTGGAAGTATACGCACCTGCACGTTCCTGCCAGCACACACCCTGTCATGGTGACATTATTTGCCTCCAGGAGGGGAAGTCAGAGGTGGCCAATTTTTATTCTATAGTTTTTCCCTTTTCAATGTTTTGAATTTTGTAACCTGTTAATGAACTGTCTATTCCAATCAAAATTAAATAAAAACACGGCAGAGTACAACAGGACTGAAGAAAGACTATGTCTTCATCTTTAAGAGCTTGCTTCCATGGTACTTATAACCTTTAAGTTCTACTTGGTTTGGTTTACAATTAAACCATGCAAATAACTGAAATTCCTATGGCATCATATAGTTTACACAGTGCTTTCCACTCACATTCTGTGAGTTGATGCTCATGACAACTGTGAAAAGGATATCATTACTTTTCCCTCCAATTTATAATATAAGGAAACTGAGGCTCAGAGAAAGACTTTAATTCACCCAGGCATATATAGTAGCAGTTGGCAAAGTGACTAGACCTCAACTCCAGCTCCACAGATAGCAAACTTACACCATTAACATTTTCCAGAATGAAAATGGCAGAATGAGGACTCCAGCAGTCTGTCCCTCCATCAAACCAACGAAAAAACTGGCAAAAACGGGCAGTATCAACTTTTTCAGAACCTGGACCCTAACTCAAAAGTTGCAACCACGGGAGTGCTTAAGAAAAGCTGTTGAATCTTGATAAGAACAGTGAACTTTGTGGCATTTTAACGTACAGTTTCCCATCTCAGTTTTCTTGCTCAGAGATGGGCTTGAAAATAACAGCCTGTATTCCTAGCATAGGTACTGGAGTGAGCAGAATAGACCACATTTCAAAGAATTCTATGTATCTGCTCTGACCTATCTGGTGGTTCCCTGGAAGCCTGGCTCAAAAGGCTCACCTTTATCTTGACTAACTTGGAACTTGACCAGTGCGAAAGTGGCATAACGTTGAAAACATTTACAGGCAAGTGTTTTAGCCACTGCTGCCTGGTGCAGTGGACAAGGGTTGGGGGAAATCACATATTAACTAAAAAGCTTGGGAGGTAAGCCTAGAGCTTGAGATGCTTTGGGTAATAAAGTCTTTGAAAAGCTCCAACGTATTCCAGAGAATCCAGAAGGCCATGTGCATGCCCAGGACCACGCACATATTCAGGAAAGACCTGAAAAGAACTTAAGCTCTCACCTCTGGCTGACCTTCAGGCTCTGTTCAAGCAGGAAGTGAAGGCTCAGATAGAGCTGTAAACTGCCTGGCTGAATGGTGAAGGTGTGTCCCAGCAAACACACGGAGCTCATCTGCAAAGACTGGGAGACTTTTTTTGGTTCCAGGTATTTAAGAAAAAATCTCTGAAAACATTAGCTAACCACTAAACTAATGGAACAGAGACTTCAGTAGCCACACAAAACAAAGAATGCAAACTTTACAAAATTAGTTCAGCAGATGGGGCCAGCCCTGTGGCCGAGTGGTTAAGTTCACACGCTCCACTTTGGTGGCCCAGGGTTTCACTGGTTCGGATCCTGGGCGCGGACATGGCACCGCTCATCAGGTCATGTTGAGGCGGTGTCCCATATAACACAACCAGAGGCACTCACAACTAGAACATACAACTATGTACTGGGGGCTTTGGGGAGAAGGAGAAGAAATAAAAGACTGGCCACAGATGTCAGTGCAGGTGCCAATCTTTAAAAAAAATTAGTTCAGCAGAAAAATCACTAAAAAAATGAACAACAGCTACATCAAGCAGCAACAACCATCTCTGGGGAAGGGGAAAATCTTATTTCCAAAGCTGTCACATTATAACATTCAAAATGGCTATCCTTCAAGAAACAATTATGAGGCAGGCAAAAATGGAAGAAAATATGTCCCATATACAGGGAAAAAAGTAGTTTCAAAAGAAACTCTTTAAGGAAGTGACAAATAAAAATGGCAAGCAATAGGATATATTGGAGTATATGAGGAAGCCATTTGGTATAAATCTAATTCGGCCTGACTTTGTTTTTTCCCAAAAGGGCCTGACTGTGGCTGTTGAGCACGCATTGTATATCTGCTTAGACATTTCCTATGGCCAGAACAAAGGCCCTTGAGATAAACGTGCAACTTCCCCCAACATTGGCATTTCCTTAGGGATAAGCATCTTTCCTTAGGCTAGGAACTGATTGCTGCACTCACCTTTGACCACCCAGCTCACCTGTGACCACCCAGCTCAAGACAACAGACTGCCACCCTGCTGTGTTCACTGAGACAGAAGACCTCCCTGCTGTTTCCATCAATCGCAGTGCCGACAGAGCAGTCTCGCGACTATTGTAAAAGGGACATTTCAATCCTATGTGAAACATCCTCTCTGGGGGTATATAACCGCTCTGTGCACCCCACTTCTTTGGTGCCCTTTTTTCCTTCGGGAAGAAAGGCCCCAGGCCATGGTCCTCAGATTTCAGCTCAGAATAAACTCACCCAAATTGTCATTTATAGATTGGTTATGGATTATTTTCATGGACAGAAGCATAGACATTGGACTTACTAGAAAAAGCCTTCAAATCAGCTATTTTAAATACATTCTAAGAACTAATGGAAAACACGTCTAAAGAACTAAACAACACCATGAGACTGATATCTCATCAAATAGAAAATATCAATAAAGAGGTATAAATTATAAAAAGGAACCAAATAGAAATTCTGGAGCTGAAAAGTCAAATTGAAATAAAAACGAGGCTCAACAGCAGACTCAAGGAGGCAGGAGAAAAAATCAGCAATTTGAAGACAGGTCAATCGAAACTTCCAGTGTGAGGAACAGGAAGAAAAAAGAATGGAAAAAAGTGAATAGACCCTAAGGAGAACTGTGGAGCAACATCAAGTGCACCAACATACACATAACGAGGGTTTCAGAAGGAGAGGAGAAAAAGGGACAGGAAGAATATCTGAAGTAGCAATAGCTGAAACTCCCAAAATTTGCTGAAAGACATTGATCTACCTATCCAAAAAGCTCAACAAACTCCAAATAGGATAAACTCAAAGAGATCCAGACCAAGAATCTTCATAATCAAACTGTCTAAAGACAGATACAAAGAGATAGTCTTGAAAACGGCAAAAGAGAAAGCAACTCATCAGGCACGAGAGACCCTCAGTAAGATTAACAGTTGATTTTCCAGCATATAGAAGCAGGAAGACAGATGACATATTCAAAGTGCTGAAAGGGAAAAAGTGACAACCAAAATTTGATCTGGCAAAATAGTCTTTAAAAAATGAAGGTGAAATTAAGACATTCCCAGATAAACAAAAGCTGACACGGTTCATTTCTAGCAAACCTACCCTATGAGAAATACTAAAGAGAGTCCTCTAGGCTGAAATGAAAGGATAACAGACAGTAGGTGAAATCCACATGAAGAAATAAAGAATACCAGTACAGGTTACTATATAGATAAATATAAAAGACAGTATTAATGTATTTTTTGTTTATAACTCCACTTTTTCCCTATCTTACTTAAAACACAAGTGCATAAAGCAATAATTATAAATCTATGAGGATGGGCACACAATTTATAAAGCCATAATTTGTGGCAATAACAGAATAAAGTGGGGGGGGGCAGATGTATACAGGCAGAAAATTTTTATATACTTTTGAATTCAAGGTGGTATTAAAATGAACTAGATTGTTATAAATTAAGATGTTACTTATAATCCCCAAAGCAACCACTAAGGAGATAATTCAAAAATAATTAAAGTGGTACATTAGAAAATACTTATTTTATGTAAATGAAGGCATTAATGGAGGAATTGAGGAACTAAGACAGATAGCCAAAAAAAAAAAAAAAAAAAAAAAAGAAAGAATTGAAGGGAGAAACAGTTCTACAATAGTTGGAGACTTCAATATCTCACTTTCAACAATGGAGAGAAGAAGCAGATAGAAGATCAGAAAGGACACAGAAGACTTAAACAACATAGTAAACCAACTAGGCCTAACAGACATCTCTGGAACATTCCACCCAACAACACCACAGTCCACTCTTCTTAAGTACACATAGACGGTTATTCAGGATAGATAATATGTTAGACCTCAAAACAAGTCTCAGTGAATTTTAAAATATCGAAATAATACAAAGTATGTTCTCCAAACACAACGGAATGAAATGAGACATCAGGAACAGAAGGAAATTTGGAAAATTCACAAATATGTGGAAATTGAATAGCATACTCCTAAATAACCAATGGGTCAAAGGGAAATTAGAAAATACTTTGAAATGGACCACAGCATACCAAAACTTATGGGATGGAGCAGAAGTAGTGCTCAGAGGAAAGTTTATAGACGTAAATGCCTACATTAAAAAAAGACATCTCTCAAATTAATAACCTAAACTTCCACCCTAAGAAACTAAAAATGGTCAGCTAAACTCAAAACAAGCATAAGGAAGGAAATAATAAAGATTAGAGTCTTAATAAGGACCAGAGAGTAAAAAACAAAAGAGAAAATCAATGAAAGAAAAATTGGCTGTTCAAAAAGATCGACAAAATAGACAAAACTTTAGTTAGACT